GCCTAATGTATTCATTTAAGTACAGGCAACACAGAAATATGCAATTACTTCAATCAGCCGCGCAGCCTTCAAACTCCAGTTAGTGCTGTTTGTCAGAGGAAGCAGTGCTCATTTACATAGAGTGCAACTAGCTATAACCAATTACAGCGGCTCGTAGTAGTACATCTCACAATTTCATTGCAAACAAATATTGCTCGAGTTCGGTTTGCAAAAACAGCTGACGCCCATTCACATAGCAGCACGGGCCGCGAGCGTGCGTCTGTATAAATTGGTCAAACGAGGCAAAATGTCTGTGATGGTTTTTGCAATATGTCAGGACACCATTTCATTTTGCACATCCCTAATATATATACAGTAATATATGATTCGTATGTGTGTGTGTGGAGGTGAACGGAAGTGTAGCGGTTAGCGCGCTGCGTTACGAACCCGGCGACCCGACACTGAATCGGTCCTGGGCCTCTCCTAGATTGACTCGGCCTTAAATGAGTGCTCGGTGCAGTGTGTAAACATCAGCACTGCGGCCTTCATAGGTGCTAGCTAAAAGCACTTGCCCCAACAGTTTGTAACATGCACCAAGTTCCTCTTGCTTGCCCACGCTGCTATCAAAAAAAGACATAAAACACACAAAATGTTTTTTTTGTGGGCATGTTCCGTGCCCGTCACCCTTTTTTGTTAGCATTTTAAAACAATTATGACAGATACTGTCAAGTAAACATCGACACCCCCCCCCCCTTGCTCGGATGAGCAATGCCGCTCTGCCATGCAGGTCGTAAAGGCGAGTTCGCGTCTGTGCATGTGCCGCGTGCTAACGAGCTGGGTGAGTGGTGTACCTCACGCGCAGGAGACTTTGATCATTAACGAGTCGTCAACGAAACGTCGTGATTTGTTTTATTTTATTTCTAACGACGTGACTTTACCGAAAGAACCAAAGAGTATGAGTCGTCAACGCGCGACCTTTGCCGGCCCAAGGGTCGCTTAGGAGAATGGCTCTGTCTTGCAGGGTGACATTTTCAACAGCCAATTTGGCCATTTTATGGACAATAAGCGATTGTCAGAAGATATATTCTTAGGTGTTTTCGGTAAAGTCACGTAGGTAAAACATCAAAATTAATAAAATAATAAAATAAAATAAAGATCACGACGTTTCGGAGGCAACACAAGTCCCCGTCATCAGGTGGGACAGTCACAGCCAGATTAGCTGCATCAAGTGTTTTACCTACGTGACTTTACCGAAAACACCTAAGAATATGATTCCTTGCAGTCACGAAAGCTTCATGTCAGAAGAGAATTAATCAGTAGGCAGCCCTATCCAGAAGCGCTGTAATAACGGCGAACGCAAAAATCCATTTTGTTTGGGATTTTACCGGTCATTCCGTGGTTGCAGGTAACATTACAGAGCCCATAGCTTTTAATGACCTGTTGTTCCTTTGGTGTGGTTTTAGAGAGCTTTGCGCAACGCTTAAACTCACGAAAAACTCGCTAAATTCACACCGTTCGCACTGATGAGAGTCGGTACTACATGTCCGTTCAGGACCGTTCACGAGGACGTAATGCAATTATCACCCCACATTTGGTTGACTGCCTGAAAGCTCCAAGTATTCGCTCGCTTTCCAGGAAACGACAGTGACATCGACAACTGAATATTATCTCACGCGCACAAACCTTTGGACTTTCATAAATTGCAAAGTTGTCAACAAAAGGCGAGGAATGTGAATTAATATATCAGGATCAACCTAGCGTGCCAGAGAAGCGCTCCGTCTCACTGAGCCTCACGCTCTCTGATCCGAGGATTGAGTTACCAGGCTAGGATTTGGACGAATGACATTCGTTCACACAGGTACGGCGCTTTTGTCAGTCCACTGCTGGATGAGGGGGGGCTCCCCACGCCGTGCGGGTCGTGGGGGTTACTCAACCATACTTCGCCACGATGGTCAATGCCATTTGATGAAGGCCGGGGAGGGGGGGGGTATAGATACGAGAACTCAGAACAATGGATGTTCCTGACGCACCACTGCCCTCTGCTGAGCGGTAGTGTAAGTGGTTAGCGCGCTGCGCTACGAACCCGGACACCCGGGCAACACCAGTGAAGATTATCTGACACCGGTCCTGGGCCTCCCCTAGGTCGACTCAGCCTCAAAACGAGTACCCTGGTGCGGTGTGTAGTAAACATCGCCACTAGGGAGGCAAAGGCGGTCGGGCGTGGTGCGCGGCCACACCCACCCCCTCGTGTGCCGTGCCGGCCTTCATAGGGTGCGCTTACTCGCTCAGGGCAACTTGCCGCAACAGTCTGTGAAGGCGACACGTCCCTGACAGCCACTAGACTCCGTCGTTATGGGAGGGGACGTCAACAAACCGGCGCTCGTGTTGTTGTTGGAACGCACGTGTTTGCACTCAGCTTGGTGCGGCAGGTGAGAGAGAGAGGAGAGAGAGGGAAGAGAGCGCGCGCGGTTAGCGGGCCACAGGTGAGGAGGAGAAGGGGCGGAGGAGGTGGAGCAGGAGGGAGGGAGGGATGGAGGGGGCCGCGTGTGGGAGCCGATACAAAAAGAATCTGCCGCTCGGCGGGGTCGCCCCTCTCGCGCGGCATGAAGACTCCGACCTGACGCGGCTTTTCCCCGTCGCCCACGCCGAACAATCGCCGCCACCGCGTGCGTCGAGACGCAATGGGACGTCGTTGATTCAAGTCCAGATGTGGATCGGCGACTTGCGCGCAGAGTTCAGCCAGCGGCGTCGTCTCGCTCGCTCGCTCGCTCTCTCTCCGCTCGCTCCTGAAGAAGCCCTCTCTCGCCGTGGCCACCAGACAACCTCGACTCGCTCCCGCCACGGTGTTGCGTCGCTGCCAAGAACGCAAGGAGTGGAATCGACGCGCGCCACTGGCAGCGGCGGTGAAGAAAACCCCCTCTGAGGAGTCAGAGTTCCACCGCGACAGACACAGCAGTTTCACCTCGGAGGGGTTTGGCCGCGAGCGAGCGCCTTGCGGAGCAGAGAGGGCCCGTGGGCGCGCCCCTGCAGCCCCCCCCAGCCCCCCCCCCTGCAGCCCCCCCCCCAGCCCCCCCCCCAGCCCCCCCAGCCCCCTGTGGTGGATTCAGAATCCGCGTCGTTTAATCGGCTCCCCAGTGGGGGTAGGAAGTACAGAGTGGTCCAGATGTCTTGTGACCGCCCCCCCCCCCATTTGAATTTTGTAAAACGGAATATTTTAGAAAGTAAGGTTTATTTAAAACAGATATGAGTATGCAAATAGAAAAATGTGTTATGGGTCGATTAATTGGGGGGGGAGGGAGGGGGTAGTCACAAGACATCTGGACCAGCAGTACCGTACAGTTGTTGGTATAGAGCGATAACCTCCCCCGCCCTCATCCCACAAAACAACAAACTCGCATCCACATCCTCCACGCCGGTTGTTGTGGCACATTCCTCCCTGGGGACTGCACGGACAATAGGTGCAGGTGCCGTGGGAAGTGGTACAGCCAGCATAAGCCAGCACCGCTTTAACACGCGGGCTTTCGCGACCAATATCCACGACAAAGGGTTTTGGGGTGAGATCGCGTGAATGTGTCGTTAAATCCGCCGCCACCACCACCACCCGTCGCGACCGATCGGTCAGGTTCGTCACGTGAACAAAACGTGCCATTTGGTGACGACTTCAGCACCACCGGTGTGTTGGAGAGTAAACGCACAACATTTACAATTCGAGTACGACGTCCTCGCTGGTGAATTACAACCGGCTTCATCAGGCGGTTAGTCAAAATTGTGAAGAAGTCTTTCTGTTTCGCAGCAGCAGCAGCAGAACGCCACGCGATGTTCTCAACAAAGGTGGCACAGTCGGGTTTTTTACAATCGGGTTTAATTGTCGTTTTATATTAAACCCGATCATCTGAGATTGGGAGAAATCCGGTTTCATTGGTTCTAATTGCAGAACCGCACTTCTCAACGATGGGCTTCATCCATTCCAAGCTAAGGAACTTCACTGGCGCCCACGATTGTGGAGGAGAAGCTCGTGTTCATCAAGACCAACCTGCCCGCCGCATTCTACGACTACCCTGTGCCCGACGGCCCCCCCGAGTACGATAGCAGCACCGACGAAGAAGCAGCCTAAGCCTCTCAGAGTTTCGTATTCATTAAACCAGGTTTTAAGTTCCCCGAAATCGGGTTTAATTATTTTAAAGAAAAAAAACCCGATGCCTGCCGCTGGAAAAAATCGGGTTTTTTTCCACCCATGGTTCTCGAGGCGACTGCGAAATGAACGAGGCGGTGGAGTTCATGAGCGCCGCACGGGATTCCTGGTGCGATTCGGGGGGGTCTTGGCAAGGAGAGTGGAGATAAAGGACGCTGCGGCGATTATAGCAATGGCCAAAACAAGAATGTAATTTATCCTTCCGCGATGGCAAGGTCTTTTAGTCCAAGCCGAGGCAAGACGACAGTACGGTGACAGTAATGGGCTTAAAAATGGCCAATTGTGGCGAATGCTTTTGAAATAATCATGCATATTTTATTGGGGACGTTTATTGAACACAAACTACTAATGCGGCCGGGAAAGCGTGCTTTTGCTAACGCAGTTGGATATGGGGCAAGCGCATAAAAAAAAGGCGCTCTAACGACGTGAAAGCCCCTCGGTTGTCATGGCCGATCCAAAGCTCGGCATCGTCGTCAAAAGTTCTCTCGCCTCCTCTACCGCAACGGGGTCTTAATTGCCCCCTGCATCTGCTTTGTCTTTAATCTCGCTTTAACTGCCGGCATTTTTACAGAGTCATTGGTGTGAGTGTCCAGAGTGAAATAAATCATTGAGTTGGCCAGTCTAGTGTTTTCTGTTTTACTACAGAGCCGGTCTTCAGGAGGGAGGGAATTCAGAGAGGGCCTTCTCCACTTGGGCAGTAACGCCACCTGACATCGTCACAACTCCCACGGTTATTTCTGCCACGTCCCAGCAACGCGTGGAGAGAGGTCTCATCACGTTAAAATATATATATTTTTAAACGTCAATAAAACACCAGAGCCATGCCACGATCATACCAACACTTTTTGTATTTTTTTAAATGAAATACATGCACGACAAAGTGACAGTTGTATATATTATTGCAAGAACCCACTTGCTGCTTTGCAAGAGCATGGCAAAGAGATCGATGTATAATCCAAGGGGCAACTCAGGCTTAAAACATGTTGGCATGTTTGCGAGGGTGCTGGAGATACGCTAGCAGCAAGTAATCAGCACGCTTCTCCGTTTAATATACGACTAAAGACGTCTAATTGCAGGGAGACATGTACACAGTTAATTATATTACAATATAGATGTGCATATAAATTAACAATAAATACTGGGCTATACAAAAGAAAGTAACAGGTTCGTCATTTTCAAAAATACTTTTGGCAAAATTAAACCCTAATTATAAGAACAGGTGAGAGATTAATAAAGCTTGCGCCATAGTTTAGTAGGACTTGCCAATTCAGTAGTTGCAATGAGATTGCGCGTTTAAAACAAAAAAAACGCAGCGCGAAAGGTAATTGTATCATAGTGCGTACTGTGTTCATGTGCAACACATTTGGTTGACGACAGCAAAAACACATTTTGGCCATAAACAATACAGTACACAGTGTTTGGATACCTCCAACAGTTTAACACTTGGAATAAAGTTGACCGTTAAATGCATGAACATGGTAAATTGAACGAAACTGGGATTTGCACAGCAGTTCAACAACACGACCCATGTCTGAGAACTCCTGGGCAGATTTATTCCTGGGAAGCGCCAAAGTTACTGTTGCGGGTGCGGGGCTGAGCAATGCGAGCTTCAGTATCCCTCCCCTGTTGCCTGGCCCTCCGAGTCATCAGCACCACCACTCACACCACTTCATCACCACCGCCACGCGCACCACTCATCAGTAGCACTGCTACACCACTCATCACCACCGCCACGCGCACCACTCATCAGTAGCACTGCTACACCACTCATCAGCACCGCCACACGCACACCACTCATCAGTGCGGTCAATTCTCCCTGCTCAACAGATCACCATGCATATGCACATCACTAATTACTATTGACAAATAAACACTTGTCAGCATATGACCCCTGCCCCACCCCCACACACACACACACCACCACCTACATTTGAGTGCCTGAGCATCAGCCACAATCACCACTGAAACAGGGCGATTGCTCCTTTGGAGCCAGTGACATTTACATTTCCCAAGTTCATATCAGGGAACTGGTCACACCACGGCTACTTTCCTAGCGCCGCACTACACGAATTGTAAGCTCGGCTAGCAGGCGATGAAAATGCCTAAGGTGCTGCTCGCCAACACCACTCGCCCCAACAGTCTTGTCAAGGCGACACGGGGGACGGGGGGGGGGACCTCATGTCTTCGGTGTAAAGTTGCCGTTGAGAAACAACGGCAAATCGCTCACGGCTCGTACAAACGCGGAGCCGCGTGCGAACGCGGCGCTACGGGCTCTTCACGTGAGAGCTCTCGTGAGAGTCTCACGCATGAGGCTCTCACGGGGTGCGCCTCGCCGCTGTGCCACCCCACGCGCCTCGGCGTGCAGCTGGCGCCGCGGCGCGCTGCCGTCGGCGGTCACTCAACGTTGGTTGCAAGCGCTCCGGGTGCGTACGTCGGGTTGAGACGCGTGGTGTTGTTCGTTCGACACGATGCACGTACGTACGGAGAACTTCTTTCGCATCGTGCACAGCCGACGTACGCCAATCGGAGGCGCTGATCGCGATGGCAGCCACTTCAGAGACGTCAGGCAACATGCTGTACGGCCACGGAAATACACATCGGAGAGCTGCAGAAGCAAAACCGCGCAAACCTCCTCCGTACGCAGCTTTGTCTTACTCGACGCCGGTGTGCGCCGGGCATGGACTGTGGCACGAACCGGGGCACAGCGGAGACGCGGGGAGGTCTCATCTCACACCCTGCAGGCTTGCAGGCGTCATTTAACAACTGCAGCCGACGAACAGTGACCATGAACGTGGCGCGATGAACGTACGCGAAGGTCATGCACGCAACGCGTGACCGAGCATGTTTCTGAAGGGAGTTGGTAATTCTGCAGTTTTACACCGCAAAGCGGCATCCGGGAGAACGCGCGCACGCGGCTCTAAAGGTTTGGGCCGCTGCAGGTCGACCCTAATTTCAATTATATAAAAATGCAAAAATACCATCTCTTCCTTCCCAAGAGAAAAGCAAAGAAATCGCTCCGTCCGCACGCATTCCGTTTGTGTATTTTACTACACAATCTTTTTTTTTGTCCACAACATTTTTAAAAAGCATTCGGTGCTTTGCTTGGAGCGTGTTTTTTTTCTTTTTTAGGCTGGAAACTTAGTTAAGCCCCTTCTTTGCAACAGGAAAAACAAAAATCATTAACAAACGGTTAAACTTCGCTGCCGCAGAAATTGTGAAGCACAGGCGGCGGCTTCCTTTGCAGTCAGCGCAATGCTTCGTCGACGAAGAGACAACAGCGATTGAAAGGGCGGTAAAATCGGCCACCTCGGCGTCATGATTTTTACAGAAATAGTATACAAGTGCCGTGTTGACACGACCTGGGGGGGGGGGGGGGGGGAATGCAACCTGATAAATCGGCGGCCAGGTTTTAACGAGCGTTTTAACGAAAGAGAACAGAAGTCAACCGCACGGTGCAATGGGGGTGCCTCACAGGGTCATCATTCAACGCCACAAAAAAACTGTCGAGAAATGTCAGGAATAAAAACATTCAAAATCAAATAAAACCAGCGATAAAAAAGAAAATCACCAGAATATAACGAGCTTCACTAGCTGTAGAAAAAAAGTACAAATCTTAGTGAACGTTTTTTCCCGCTGCAAGTCTGCATGTGCGGAGATTCACATTTCCGTGTGCTTCAAAAACTTTGTGCAATCGAGACGAGTGCCATGCGGCCGTTGGGGTCGTGGGTCGTGGGGTCGCGAGGTCGCGGGGTCGCGGGGGTCGTGGGGGTCGCGTGGCGGTGAGCGTAAACGGATCACGCTTCGACTCGCGTCGGCGTTGCCGGTGCCGGAGACGTCGGCGCTTCCTAGCACCAACGCTGCCACCGCTGCCCCTCACTGGGCGCAGCGGTGGCGCCGATCAGAGCGACCTCGAGGGGCAGCCACCTCGAGGGGCAGCCACCTCGAGGGGCAGCCACCTCGAGGGGCAGCCACCTCGAGGGGCAGCGGCGGGGGTTGGGGGCGGGGGGAGCGGCGACGGGGCGCTGACACCAGGGGGGGCTCAGGGGCGCCGCGGCTCCAGCTTGTTGGAGAGCTGCGAGAGCGTGCGCTGGTTGTCGATGACAGCCAGCTGCCGCACGTAGGCGCGCACGTCTGCGTGGTTCTTGGCGGCGAGCGATGGGTCGGGGCCTGGGGGCGGAACACGCACACAGCATTCACGTCATGTACGGCCCTCGGTAAATGAGCTGCTGGACGAAGGCCTCCGCACGCCTTTCGGTCATGGGGGTTGCTTTTGTTACTTTACTTCACCACGCTCATCAAAGCGGGTTGGTGACGCGAGGGAGCCTTGCACCGGTTCAGATATCGCTCGCCACTGATGTCGGGCGTGGCCAGGAATCGCCGCAACTCCATTTTTAACTCCACATTCACAAACATTACAACGGCATTCTCATGATAATATCACGATGTCGCAGCCTATAACGCTCGTTAGGCATGGTGGCCATACATCCTAGGACACTTCCCAGGCCCAACCATGCGAAGCTTCCACGATCTGACGAGATCGGTCGAACTTCACGTTGATTCGGTCATCGGTTACGTTGTGAGCCCGCAGAGGGCAGTCCAGCAAAAATGCCACTGTAGTACCGACAATAATCTGAACTTGTCACGTGCACAGTGTCCGCTCACTCAGCGCGAGGAAAGCAGCCAAGGGGGAAAGGCAGCCAGGCAGTGATCCAGCGCCAGATTTACCTCCATATATGAAAGTGTCATTGGCCAACTTAATGAGCGTTTACATGTGGGAGGAAACTGGAGCGTCGCTCCAATCCCGTACAGATGGAACAGGTGGGATGGTCCCCATTCTCTGTACCGCCTTCTCCTGGCGAGCCGGGGTACGGCAACTTCCTCGAGACCCTCGCCGAGCGAGTTTCACGACGTCCGTGTGTGCTCCACCAGCCCTCGCTGCCTCCACAGTGCTGGATTACAGGTGTGTCTCGTTCTAAGCCCCCCATGTGTCTATGCTCCAAGCCCTACTTACCAGCGAGGGGAAGTATGGACAAATAAGCCCGGCTTGTGGAGGCGATTTCATCTAGCGGTGGATTGACAAAAAAGGGCTGTACATGTACACACACTACGTTTGCGAGCATGAGAATGAGCACAGATGGATGTGTGAAGGCTTGTGTGCATCATCGTAAGTGGGTGGGGAATGTGGCTCAAGATGCAGACAATCACCACGTGGTCGTGCGGCGCTACCGTGCGCGCGAGACGTCTGCCCCACGTCTCACATTAAACACAAAGCGATCACGACACAAGGGGCTTTAACGTTAAAATCACCCTTTGCGTCAAGGTGACCGCGGTATGTGCAGTGGCTGACGAATGGTAGGCACGTGTTGCTGGTGTCTGTATTCATGTGGAACTTCTTTGGGACCAGCGGAGATGCGGGGTAAGGGCAACAAACTGAACACAAAAGGCAGTTCTGAAGAAATTAGTTTTCAATTTAAATTTTAAAAGTGCATTGCTCTCGTTGCTTCCTAATATGGGAAGGAGGAGCGCATTCCGGGCGGCCGTAGAAGCGCATCCGAAAGTGCGCGATGCAGACGCCGTCTTTGTTCAATGGTTAACCAAAAGCCGCTGCGAGGATGACCGGAGTTCGCACGTTGGTTTGTGCTCCTTGACAAGATCGGCAAGGTGTTGTGGTTCATTAATTTATTATTTTATCTTTAGACTGTGACTTAACCGAAAGAACCAAATAATAATTCCTGCAGTCACGAAAGTTCTAAAATTAAGATTGTTGTGGTTCACTCGTGGCAAGCACCTTGTACGCAATGAGTGCGACCTCGTATTGTAAGCGACGTGTGAGGGCGTGCGACGCTTACTGAAGGAGCGGCTGCGACATACCCGCACCGTCCGCACCGTCTCGGCGATCATGTGCTGCGCAGACACAAGAAAGAGGGGGTTTCACCACATGCACGGCGGTTTTCAGTTCGTTAGACATGTCTCCGCCATTTCGATTTAAAGCTTTCGTGACTGCAGGGATTCATCTTCTTGGTTCTTTCGGTAAAGTCACGTAGAAGGGAAGTAATACAATAATATGTTTTATTTTGATTATTTTATTACTTCCCTTCTGCGTGACTTTACCGAAAGAACCAAGCAGATGTCTCCGCCATGTTTGCCTCAACGGGACAATGACGGCAACCGCTCCGCATTGGTCCGGCCACCGGGTGGAGAAGCGCGGCGTTACAAGTTCGAGCGTGAGGTCGGTGCCGTCGATTACGTCGAGCTGATATATGGCACCTCACAGGTCGTCCAAGGTGTTTGCAATCAAAATAAATGAATGAATGAATGAATAAATGGGTGCTCACCATTTTTTCAAAATTCACCAGGCTGTCGATGAAGGTCTTGTTCCCCTCGTGCGTAAATGTCATGTCTGTAAAGGAAAGATCACTTAGTCGTGAGATCAGTGCAACACGAATAACAACAACGATGATGATGATGGTACTCGGTGAAGTATAGTGCCGATCGTGTGGCCAAACTCACCCTTCATGAGCAGCGGCATGAACGGGATGTACGGCGGCTCGAGCTTGGACACGGCCATGCGGTACGCGCGGTGGTTGCGGGAGGGGTCCTGGCGTGCCAACGGCAGCACAACGGGGACATACTGATGAGGACCAGCGGGGTGGAAACGCGGCGATGAGTCTCTCTTTAGCCGTTTGTAGCTCAGCCGGGAAAAAAATAAAATCACGTCCATGTGGGGGGTTGTCCCCACCATGGTGACGGCCACAGCTCTGTCACAGGTCCGGGGCCCACTTGAGGATTGTATTATTTTATTATTATTATTTTTTTATTCCAGGCAAAGTCAGAGCCTTCCTGCTCAAGCACTCATCGCCATCTAAAATGTAACTATAGACAATTTTTTTTATTTTACCAGGTAAGGCCCACTAAGCTATGTGGCTCTTTTTCAGAAGCGACCTAGCCACAAATGGTAGCCCAACGAAGTGGCGTATCGTGTGGAAATCTAGAGCAGCCAAATACTCTAAATGCATGTTTCTAAATGTGGAGGAAAAAACCGGAGGACCCGGAGAAAAATCCACGCGACCACGTGGAGAGAGACACGCAAACTCCAAATATATAGGCGTCAGGATTGGAATCGAATCCACGACCTCCTGCATACCAGGCGAGGGAGATAACATCTTGCACTGACATCTGACACTTCTGCAAAGTATATGACTTCTGCAATCAGTGCTGGAACCTCCAAAATTCCTATGCCAAAAAAACTTTTAGCCGTCCGCTAAACTGGTACTCATTTAACAAATTCCCCGCTGACATGAGTGATTAGTTCTGTTGACCGCTGCCTGATTTTTTAAAACTCGCAACTTTCCGAGTGCTCTGACCACATCGAACCTGGTCGGTTTCCTCACCATGAGACTTTCAAATTCCGAGTAGATTTTCTTGAATTTTCCGGGAAGTTTCTAAAGCCACGCAAAAAAAACAAACACAGCATTGTCAAGGCGTTAAACTCAAGGCGTCGGGGTAAGTTTCTCGGTGGCGCCAATGCTGTTTGTCACCGAGCGGCGCCGTTTTAGGCCGGGCCGAGACGAGAAACCGCGGGCGCGCGCGGTGTCAATTTTACCTCCCAGGTCTGCGTGAGGCGGCTCACGGCAACGTTGCTCAGCCCCATCACGATGGCGAAGAACGAGTTGAGGTTGCGGTACTCCTTACAGCTGGGGAAGCACAGCACAGGAGGGGGAGGGGGGGGAGACGAGGACACGGGAGCGCACGCAAGCCAGCTGTAGCCCCACAGTGCCGCTGCGGTGACCGACGCAGGCCGAGGGTGTGTGGGTGGTGGTGATGTTGGGGAGCGGTGGCGCAGTGGTGAGCGCGCCGCTCGCCGAACCCGGTGACCCGAGTTGGATTCCCACTCACGGCCAACGTCCGTGGAGAATATCTGAACCGGTCCTGTGTCTCCCCTAGGTCAACTGGGTGCGGTGCTGGCCACCTACCGCATCACGTGCCGCGCCTGTGCTCGCTAACAGCGCTTGCTCCAACAGTCTGTTAAAGCCTATATGGGGGAACTTTGTCCTTGTGGTGATGCTATGTTGGTGACATGTGATTGGTGATGCGTGCTATGGTGGCGGTGTGTTCGTGGTGGCGGTGGTGGTGCCAGGTTGGTGATAATGTGCAATGTGGGTGGCCGCGGACGCGTGTGGATGTTGGCGAGTGCTGCCCGTCTCGATGGCGCGTGGCTGCCCTCTGCTGGCCCGTGTGCTTCATCTCGCCCCGTCGTTCGGGAGACTTACTGTGCGGCCACCTTGATGAACTTGCGCAGCAGCTGCACGCGCTTGCTCAGCTGCTGGCAGAGGCAGATCTCGGTGAGCACCCAAAACTGCAGCTCGTTAAAGCGCCGCAGGAACAGGTCCAGGTTTGCCGTGGTCCTTCTGAAGTTGTGTCGCCCAAACGTGTGGTATATGAGCTCCAGCTGGGACGCGAGCCGCGTGGCCGCAGGGGAGAGCGGCGGGGATGGGGAAAATCCGGGCAGATGAAAGGAGAGGATGGGAGGGTCGGAGAAAACGCTCAGCGGCAGCGATGTGTGTTTAATCTGCAACAACGCTTTAAACATTAATTTTGCACGTATTTATAGCTCGTCCAACGCCATTGTAACTCTTAGCACATTGCACCGCAGCCGTGCTTTTAACTCGGAGAGACAGTCTGTCCACAGGCTCGAAAGCTGGATGTAGGTATTGCAAATTAAAATTATAAATTAATCGTAATGTACTGCCCTCTAGTCACTCCACCGCTGGGTGAAGGTCTTCCCGACATCACGTCGTTTGTTGGGGTTTATGTGGCCACACTTCACCATGGTGGTCATTGGGGGGGGGGGGGGGGGGGGGGGGTGAAGGACAGAGGGGTTCCCAGGACCTATTTTGGTTATTACCCGGCACAGATGCCAGAACTTGAACTGAGGTCGTGGGGCCTCACCACGGGGCCCTCACCTCGTGGGGCCTTCACCTCGGAGGACCTCAATTCGTGTGGCCTCACCTCGTGCACGCAGTGGAAGAGCTCCCAGTCGTAGACTGTGAGCTGGTGAGCCAGATCCTTGGAGCCCATCACCTCGAAGGTGCCGACCGAGCCCACGGCGGGGCCCTCCTGCTCCGCCAGTGGCGTCTGCGGCCACACGCACACACGCGGCCACACGCACATACGCGTGACGACACGCACACACGCACACACGCGGCCACACGCACACACACGCGGCCACACGCGGGTACAAGCACACACGCACACACACGCGGGTGCACGCACACACACGCGGGCGCACGTGGACACACGCACGCACGCACACACGCGGACACACGCACGCTCGCGTGACGACGCACACACGCGGGCACACGCACACACGCGGCCACACGCACACACGCGTGACGACGCACGCACGCGGGCACACGCACGCACGCACGCGGGCACACGCACGCACGCGGGCACACGCACGCACGCGTGACGACGCACGCACGCGTGACGACGCGCGCACGCACGCTCGCGTGACGACGCGCGCTCCCTTACACCGGCCCCAGGTCTCCGGCAACCAAACCCACCCGCAGGGAGGCTGAGCCCGGTAAACGGCAAAAATGAAGTAAATTCATTGTAACGGGTGCAGTGAAACACACGCGTGCACATGCACACACGACGGCTCGCTTAATATGTTTTATAGTTACGACATAGGTTTAATTGCCGATGACCAAATCACTCAGAAACCTTTTGCAAAATCATCTCAGAAGCTAACCAGGGTTTTAAAGGCTGGTTAGTGCTCGGATGGGCAACTCCCTTACGTAAAAAGGCTACTGTGTGGCTACATTGTCAGCAGAGGGCAGTGCTGTATCACACTTCAACGTTCTTGTTCTTGACCCAAGCTGAGCAGCATGGTGAAGGATGGTGGAATAACCCCGTGACCCCGCACAACGTGAGGAGACCCTCACGCAGGGGCGGATTGACCGTGAGTGCGTGCACACATATGCAGGCACAGTCCCACGCGCATGTACTACGCGGCAGTTTAACGATTCAGAAAACAAACTGTGCCCCACAGACACGGAGCGCTGAAGCAGAGCAGCGCTCCTCCTCTTCGCCGCCGCACAGGGGGACAAACGCAGGGCAGAGTGCGGAGAAACGTCGGCTCAGGGCGGCAGGGGGACGGGCAGCAGGAAGCGGCGCCCACCAGCGAGTCGATGAGGTCGCGGGCGCACACGAAGAGCCGCCCGTTGACGCTGAGCGTCGTGAACACCGACACGTCGTTGGGCTTCAGCACCACTTTCTCTGCAGAGTTGGAAAAATGACAACAACAACAACAAACATCGGTTAATTTGAAAGGGAGATTTCGATTTAAAGCTTTCGTGACTGCAGGGATTCGTCTTCTTGGTTCTTTCGGTAAAGTCACATAGAATGGAAGTAATAAAATAATAAAAATAAAACATAAAATAATTCTCACGACGTTTCGGCCACAACGCAAGCAGCCGTCCTCAGGTAAAGAACAGGTCTGTCGATAAGACAGAGTAACGAATTGGCATGCTCTGTTTATGTGACAAACCTTACTAATTGGCTGTGTCGGGTGGTGGCGGGATTAAGGACACATTTATACATTTACGCGATCTAACCCAACAAAAACCTGTATTAATGTGATTATTTTTGTTACTTTTTTTAAATGTTTTTTTTGGGGGGGGGGGGGGGAGTAGGCGAGTAGCCCCCGCCCAACCCCCCGCTGGCCCCAACCAAGGGAGAAGATGAATATTTCAATGAGGGGGGGGGGGGAAACAGGGAGGGGGAAGACAAGACTAATAACGTGCTAAGGAAGGAAAAGCCAGGGGTGGGGTGTGCGGGTGTGAGGGTGGGGGGGTGGGGGTGTGTGGGTGTGTGGAGGTGGGGGTGTGGGTGTGTGGGGGTGTGGGGGTGTATGGAGGTGGGGTGTGGGGGTGTGGGGGTGTGTGGAGGTGTGGGGTGGGGTGGGGGGGGTGGGTGGGGGGGTGTGGTGTGAGGGTGGGGGTGTGAATGTGGGGGTGGGGGGTGTGAGTGTGGGGGTGTAGGGGTGAGGGTGTGGGGGGTGGGGTGTGGGGGTGTGGGAGTGTGAGGGTATGGGCGTGTGGGATTGTGGGTGCACGTGAGTATTATTTCAAGAGAGGGGATCCCCCTCCGTGCACGTGCCCCGTCTCGCCGTCTCACCGCCGGCAGAGCTGACTTTGACGAGCACTAGGTCCTCAGCGGCGCCCAGCTTGTCGGTCGTTGGCGCTATCGCCTCCCTCACGGTGGCGGCCATCGGCACCCGGATCGTCATGTAGGTGTGGTCGGTGCAGTAGACCTTGAAGAGGACTGCACGTCAACCGGGGAGGTGCGGGGGGGGGGGGGCGCACAGAGGGAGGCAACGGTTAAACGCTGCGCGCTGTGTACGCGTGCGCGGGAGTGCAAGAGGCATGAGCACGTAGAGAGATGTGGGGGGGGGGGGGGTCAAGCAGCAGTAGTTAGGGCCAAAAACGGGAGGACAGGGGAAGTGTCATCCTATAATCATCTTCATGATGCACACTTAGTGCACTCAAGATAGTAGGGTTTTATATATATATAGTCCCGCAATTGTGCACCGAACGTCAGAGACTTCCACGGTAATTGTATATCACGTAGCAAATAAAATGGCTTGGACACTCCATTAAGGCCCCTTTCATATTTAAACCGGGATAAAATAATCATGTTTCTCATCGCAGCAGGTAACGGGCACAATCTTGAACAAACACTCTTTGAAAGGGCACTATAATATCCAGGTCCCAATTGCCTGTGGTCTCTTTTGATATTTCATTTGCGGTAAAAAAAAACTTTACCCCACCTGTGCGTCTTTAAGCCCTGCAACATCAAATTTAGAGTCGCTTCTACCGGGGACGTTTCCGACAACGCGAGGCGCGTTGCCGAAACTCGGCAATCTGGCACGCGCGACACAGGCGACGCAGGCGACGCAGGCGACGCAGGCGACGCAGGCGACGCAGGCGACGCAGGCGACGCAGGCGCCGGTCGTGTGTTGATGACGGCTGCGTGTGGGGCACTGCTCACTCTCATCAGTCCCTCGGATGGGCTGACACTTCTGCAGACGCTCCTCTCCGATGCTGAACTGCCGCAGGAGACGTTTCTGTGTGGGGGGGGGGGGGGGCAGACATTAATGTGGAGCACGGGGAAAAGGCGACTCGTATCCCCGCCGCTCCCCTCAAAGCCGTGGTGCACAGGGGTACAACAGGGGAGAGAACGTGTCACGCGAGACCCACGGAGGCCAATGATGACATTATTCCGTAACACCGCGCATCGCTGAAGTATTTCAGTCGTTCGTGCACATACGCATGGGTCAGTAAGGACACTTGCCTTCGGCGTGGACTTGTTTTGGATGCCGTTCGATAAACTGAAAAGCAAGTACGTAACTTCGTTAATAGAAATTCATAAAAACACAACGACTAAAACAACACGCGGACATGTGCTGTCGTGTTTAGGCCTTTGCTCGGCCGTGCTCACGTCTTGGCTTTGAGTTTCTCCAGCTCGGTCAGGTCTTCCTTGAGGCTGGGATGCAGACGTGCGTCATCCAGCACTGAGATGTGGAACTCCTGCAGAATCAGAGGCACACCCCGCTCACTCAGTACCCTCACCTCCACTCATACCCCACGCGTGTACATGCGCGAGTGTGCGTGTAAACGCGCGTGTACATGCGTGTCTACATTTGCGTGTACATGTGCGTGAGCGGCTGGAACCTCGAGGAAGGCGGTGGCGGCGACGTCCTCATGGAGGAGTTCCGCGTAAACGGTCGCCCACTGCAGCACGAGCCGCACGACGCGCCGCTTGGTGCTCAGCGAGTAGTCGGCCTTCTCCTGCTCCGAGCCCTGCGACCGCGTCGACTCGGCGTGGTACGTGCGGCGGCCTCGTCAAGGACACGCACGGGAACCCCCTGCTCGCGGTGTCTCGCCGAACGCGACGCGCGCGGCCGTCGCGTTCGGTTCGCCGTCGCCCACGCTCGGAGAATTGGCCGGCCGTACACCGCCCGGCGGCCGGCGGCTGGAGTTTGGCAAGCGTTCCGAGATGTCGAACGGCGGCGATTTGTTTAGACGTTCCCCGGCGCGTGGGGCGAAACGGGGGACGTCACGCCGAAAAACACGCGGGCACGATCCGGAGAACGCACCGTGGAGCCAGGCGGCGCGGCGGCGGAAAAAAACCCTGCCGCGGTGACATTACCGAGAATCGTGTCAGACATCCAACGAGGACGGGAGCTGTGATCGCGGCAGCAGAGCACCAATCACGTGGGCAGTTAACAAAGATCAATGGCGTCCGTGCCGGTGCTCCGATAACGCCGGACGGCGACGTCACACGAGGGTGTGCAGGAGACCGGTGGCTACATCGGTCTTCATTCCACGCAGCGTGGCTTAGCGCGCGCAATCCAAGGCGTTGACGGCGCCGATCAGGCAGGAGGGTCTTCACCGTGGAGGATGTTTAAAACGCCAACGCTCAATCAGCAGCGAGTGCAGAGCGTTGTGTGTAAAGAGGGATTTCGACGCTGTGTACAAATGTGATACAAGCGCGCTCATCCGTGGATTTTGACTTCTACATTTGGGGGGGGGGGGGGGGGGAGGAGGAAGAAGTTCGCTGTGTCCCTCACATTCGAATCGTGGGTGCATTTCATAAAGAAATTTACATAATATAAATACATTTATTATAAACTACTAAAAATAATTATTAATGAAGGTGCCCAGTTTGGGCGGGGCATTGCCCCCCTGTACCCCCCCACCCCCCACCCCTGCAAACTCCGTCCATGCACGTGCGAGCACGGGCGACGGCGATTGTTGCGATGGATACGTCTCGCCTCTCCATGCGGTAAGACGCCCCCCCCACCCCATTCATTGACGGAACTTCTAAAGCAGCTGCGTCATTCAGTCAACTTAAAATTGATTTCAAAGAAGCCGCCGCGATTCGGCATCGGCAGCGTGCCATTAATCCGAGCTAAGCGCCCGTGTGCGCCATCGTCGTTGTTCGTGACGCGCGCGCGTGTGCGTGCGCTTGCGCGGCAGGGCAGGATATTGTCCCATGAGAGCGGGGCACAGCTGGCTGCTCGGCATGAACGCCACGTGGGTGAGCAGGAAGTCTCCCAGGAAGGTTTCTGCGAGGAAACACGACGGGGCTGCCATCAATCTCCACGCAGAGCGAGGGGCCGGGAGGAAACCCGTGACATGATGCGCGAGTGTGTGTGCCGTGTGCGCGCATTGCACAAGAGCGGCTCGCGTGATCCCAACGGGACCGCACGGACTTTAAGGGAACACAAGCGACCCGAGTTAGATGAATCCCAGTGGATACCAAGTCGCAGTTGTGTCTTATCGGTCTATTTACATTGGATAATGTCATTCAGTGGCATTGTTCAAGTAATGGTAGGAACCGGAAAGAAAGAGTAGACCTCGTAGAGAATGGCTTGACGAGATTGGTGCCAAAGAGATGTTGCACTTCTTGAGCATATTGGCACAAGACTGAGGAAAAAATGGCGAAATGTGCAGTGGACACGTACGGACTATCTACCCCATGGGTCGTGAGGATGATGATGATGATGATGATAATTCACATAAAATCCATAATACAGATTTTTTTTTGGGTGAGATCGCAATCTACCCCAATAAACCTGCATTACTGATGATATTACTCTTTGGTTCTTTCGGTAAAGTCACGTAAGGTGTAATAATAATAGATCACGACGTTTCGATCGCAACACAAGCAATCGTCATCAGGTGGGACAACCAGAGCAAGAAAAAAAACTGCTGAAGTAGAACAGTTTGTTCTTGCTGTGGCTGTCCCACCTGATGACGATTGCTTGTGTTGCGATTGAAACGTCGTCGTGATCTATTATTTTTCTACCTACGTGACTTTACCGAAATAACCAAAGAGTATGGATTCCTGCAGTCACGAAAGCTTCAAATCAAGATTGAGGATGATATTGGTCGCGAAAGCCTACGTGTTAAACTCCACGTACAATGCCTTCAAACGGATTACAAACGGTCGACTGTGGCGTTGGGTTTTAGAAGCGATGGAGCGCGCTGGTCGGGGAGGCGGCTACCCTTCGTGTCATCGAACTTGGTGTCGGGCCGCATCGTCTCCAGCAGGTGCTCGAGGATCTTGTCGGGGGTCCCGGACATCACCGAGTACCTGGGGCGTGAGAAAGACACAAGTGCCGTTCAGTGGCTCGCCTGGGCCCTGGCGCACGGAATGAAATGGGGCCTCTTGTTCAATATCCCCTCCCTCTTCAGAGCCAGCCCGTGGGCCCCTCTGGCCCATGGGCCCCACGGTGCAGTTGCAGCGCCTGCGCACCCGGTAGTTACGCCACTGGAGCCGGCGGGTGGTCAGCAGCTGGGGTCCAACAGCGTCACGGCGAAAAGTTCACAAGCATCGTGGCTCACATTTTCCTCTTCAGCATAGACAGAGATATTGAAACATCGAGAATCGTCGCCATGACAATGATGTTTAACATTCGGAATCAAAACATCAGAGTCGAATTCGGGATCTGTGTCTTTGGCGGTCGCCGCACCACTAGGTGAACGGCTCGTGTTCGACTGTGTGGGCATGGAACGATTCACATTTCAAAATGCAAACTTGATGTTGGTTGCGCGTGTGAATGCCCAACGGCGTTGAGTTTGTTGCAATGCGAGGATGGGTGCATCTGGGCCGGGCAGCAGGGCTTACTTGTAGTGCACCTGGGAACCGCCCTGCAGGGCCACCCTGCCTCCCGACGGGATCTTCTCGAGCACCAGGACGTCTTGGCCGTGCTCCTTGAGCCGCACAGTGTTGGCCTCCACATCCTGCAGGGAGGGGCGGGGGGGGTGCACACGGTGGTGATGGTCGCAGCGGTTAGCGTAGCGCACTGAGTAACGAGCTGCACTACGCTAACTCGATGACCCAAGTTTCCATTTTCGCTCATGGCCAACACAAGTGCCGAATCTCTTAACCGGATTCTGGGCCTCCCCTAGGTTGACTCAGCCTCTCATGAGTACGTTGTGCGATGTGTAAACATCGCCATTGGGGAGACAAAGGTGGCCAGGCATCATGCTGGCCACCCACCCACCCCCTCGTGTGCCGTGCCGGTCTTCATAGAAGCTCGATAAAAACACTTGCCCCAACAGTTTGTTAAGGCTATATATGGAAGAACTTTGTCTTTAATGGTTGCTGTACCGTTAGGCGAACGGCTCGTGTTTACTGTGGGCATGGAACCATTCTGCCCTCCTCCTCCTCCTCCCAGTGATGCTATTGTCACAATTTGGGGTCATAATTCAAAACGAGAACCAATTATCTTGGCGACTCACCTTTAGCGAGTAATTTGTATCATTTCTCATTTATTTTCATCTCGTTTGCGTAGTTTTGTTTGCGTCATTCACCCAAAGTAGCAGCGTATTAGTGGGATATAATTGTCATGAATAATACATAGATAATTATGAAATGCATAAGTTTATGTATGTATTATGGGTGTAAGAATCAATCTCAAGTAATTAATAAATGTCTAGCTACGTACCCATTGCCGTGGTATTGATACCAATATTAAAATTGGCTCGTTGCACATATGATTAATGCTTATTAATACCATTCATCCGATGCTAGAGCCCTCATCTCCTGCCACCCCCTGTAGCCCAGATCTCTGCACTTTAAAACACCCCCAGAGATTGGCTGCAAAGCGAACACATACTCGCAGGATTCGGTTGAAGTCCTCTTTGTCCACACGGAGGAAGTGGCAGTTGTCTTCTCGCAGGACAATGGAGGCCGCCCGAGGAGCGTCGTTCACAAGGGCCAGCTTGCCAAAATCATCGCCTTCGTGGAGCGTGCACACAACGCCCTGCGACGCACACACCGCCATGGACAAGCCTCTGTAATCCACCCGCCGACGTACCCCACACACCTCACGGGACCACGCCTTACAGGAGACGTCAGCCTTTACCGGAGTCGGCAGACTTACAGGAGGCAGCCTGGAGTGAGAAGGGTGTTTGGGAAGCCTGCAAAACTATTTATATAAAATTATTATTTTACCCGGTTAAGTGCCCACTGAGCTGTATAGCTCTTTTTCAGAAGCGACCGTGGCCACAAATGATAGCCCAATGAAGTGGCTTACCAAGTGGAAATTTCATAGCAGCCAAATACTCTTAAATGCATGTTTCTAAATGTGGAGGGAAAAACCGGAGGACCCGGAGACAACTCCACATGGCCACGGGGAGAGAGAACATGCAAACTAAAAATATACGGGCATCAAGGTCAGGATCGAACCCACAACCTCCTGTATATCAGGCGAGGTAGTTAACATCTCGCCACCGCGGCGCCCGCAGAGGCTGGACACTCGCGAAGCGCAGACTCACGCACGCTCTTCTCTGCCACCCTGACACTCATCTCCTCGTTCACACAAACATCATTCCAGAAATGCTCCACTGTGAACAAAACGGAGGCCTCTGTGGTCAGTGAAGTTGCGGCTTCCTTAAAACCATGAGAACGGACGGTGGCCACAGAGATGGCCGCACACAGGAGGAAGGCTCGCGTTTCACCATCGCCTGCAGAGACCCTCAAGTGCACAGAAGTGCAACGCGCCAATTTCCACAATTTCAGGGGTAGGGGGAGGAATCACCCCCATCACCCTCACCCCCTCCTCCCCCAACATCCTAGGATCTGCCAGTGATTCTGCCATGCAACATTCTCAATATTATATGTATTTTTAATCCTTTATATTAAGTTCACTTGCTTGCTTGCTTGCGCGCTTACGACCGTGCAAATCTTTCGGTCGTTTTTTAACCCACTTCCCGTGATCCAATCGAGCTGACATTTTGCACACAGACTCGTTGTGCGTGACAATTTATTGTCGTGAAAATTTTTTTCCAAACTTTTACACTTTTTAGGAAAAAATAATTATATTTAATTACCAATTGCTTAATGGTGGCAGGCAATCATCTGACCCATAGGTGGCAGCCATCTCAAGCCAGAGGACGAGAGGACTCTAGCCGCCACGCATATAAAGGATTTATAGTGAAAAACTTTGTTTTTACGGGTTAATTTTTACGTATCTAAATTATATTTAACATTCGTAATTGATGTAAAAGAGATGTTTAACATTAAATAATCCAACACAATGTTAATTCTACTGTGTTTTATTATTATTATAAATTTTACATTTATACCATAAATAAAAGTGTCTCATGGATTAAGACGCAAACGGGTTAGGGTTAAGTGGCGCAGGCTTGAGTAAGGGAGGGCTGCTCTGCGCCTGCAGCTCCATTACCTTTCCATAAATGACGACGTTGACGGAGCCCTTGAGGATGATGTACCACGAGGTGCCCTCCTCGCCCTGGTTAAACACTGCGAAGGGCAAATGCAACCGCGAGTCATTGCGAGCACTCGCACGCCCTTGAATTTAAATAAAGTAAATCGGAGCGTCCAGAAGTGTTTCATCTGTGCGTGTTACCTGCCAGCAAATATGGACGAGAAACATTGACAAAGACATTCTGTTGGTTGGTTTACTTGAACTGTAAACGTATTCATGTCATGCTTCCAAAGATGGAATTTGGATGCAAACATCGGTAGAAACTGAATAATAGTTGAAAGAAATGCAGATCAAGTCAGATAAACTGGAGTCACAACAATCTCCTCATTCGGTGTCAAGGTGAAGTATGGGGAATTAAATAACGCACTTAGTGGGTTAAAGAATTGCTTGGAAGGACGCCCGTGGCCACTTACAGATGGTGCCAGCTTTGGCGTGGGATTCAAATATCAGTACGCTGGCCAGCTCCCGCCTCACCTGCACCCGCGACATCGCACACACGCGCCGGACGGTGAAACAGAACAGTGCGGCAGCACCTCCATATCAACACGAACCGCTCGAACCCTAACCCCTCCAGATGAACACGAACCCCATCTAACACTAACCCCTTCAGATGAACACGAACCCCATCTAACCCTATCCTTCAAGTTGAACTCTAACCCCCGTTCACACTGGACCGCGTGACTCATTTTGTAAAGAAACCTCAGCACTCGTGGGTTGTCTGGATTCTCATAGTGTCAATGGCACGGTTTCTTAAGTAGTTACAGATTTTGCATTCAATTCGTTGAATTCACAGCAATAAAAAACACAAACACTCATGCATACACCTCAATGCAGCTTCTGCTCGAATAACCTAAATGTGAAGCATCACTAAGAGTCGAGTGTCAATGCTGCCTTGTACCGCTAAGCTAATGCACGTAAACATTGCTCCGGGTAGACATACATTGTTTTCCATCCATCGAGTCTTCTGCTAAACTTGAGCAGGAGTCGGATCTGTGCACTCACCGTGATGGAGAGATGGGAGAGAGCCTTGATGTGGAGAAGCTCCTCGTAGATTATCTCCAGGTCGTCCGGCCCCCGCTGGCCGGGTCTGCATCGGTCAGAAACAACCGCGCTCACTCAGAGACCGTCCTGTATTGCAGGACACCCATGCCCTTGTGCCAATCCACTGCTGGACGCAGGCCTGCCCATGTTGTTTGGGCAAGCAGGACATTAGTTGACCACGTTTGGTTTGAGTGGGTCGAAGATGGCAACAGATCTTCTGTGGATGGCAGTCACCCATCCATCCAACTGCCTATCCAGGCTGAAATATACTGCTTCGCTTCCGAGATCTGACGATATCTTATCTCATCTTAACGGAATTTATATAGCGCCTTAACGAAGGCACTTTACGAATAATTAACAGCGGTACTCGTGACAATAGGGTTTTTCCCATTTTTTCTGGCAACAAAAAACATGTGTTAAGATGTTAAAACACCAAACTGAAACTTTTTTTACAAGGAATCATGTCTGCATTAACCACAATGCTTGTGGTCAGAATGCAAACAAAAAAACGCACTCTGACAGTATGTGCATTGTCCTTGAAACTGATCGTTCCACACCAGAGACAGCCTTTCTTTTGAGCCTCGTCTCAAACGGTGGAGATAAGGTGAAAGAAGTAGATGAGAGGAAACAGTGGGAACATCTGTGATGCGTGAATTGGGTGAAAGCGAAATTAATGACAGAAAATAATAATGAATGGATTGAATGAATGGGGGTTAATGAGTGATAGCGATGTAATGCGAATTTGAAGGGGGAACAGTGAGGGTGGTGGTTATGAGGGGGAGATTAAGAGGTCGTGGGGTGAGCTAGAGAACAATAAGAGAGTTTTTAGTAAGGAGCAGAAACGAGCGAGTGAAGGTGACTGTTTAATGTGGAGGGGAAGTTTGTTCCAGTGAAGGGGGGGCAGGAAGGGAAAAATAGCGACAGTGTGGATTGAGCACACGGAGGAGGAGGCACAGAGAGAGAGAGAGAGACAGCAAAGATTGAGAACGCGTGCATTTGTGGGCGTTTTGTTCTTCCACGCAGAGCACCGATAAATAGCCAGATACACAGATACACCGATACAGAGATACAGAGATACACAGGGATGCACATTCGTAACGCTGCCAGCCCCTAACGGTCGTCCAAGACTCGCGCGCGCGGGTTTCATTCGCCGTCGCAGAGAACAGCTGCCTCCGAATGCTCAATGCAAATCAGTTGCAGCACGTGCACGGGGAAGACTCGGTAGAAGAACACCCTCCCCGACCGCACGGCCTCCGCTCAGGGCGGTCAATGTCCCCTTCGCTAATGAAAGACTCCGCAGCCCGAAATCCGTTCCTTCACGGAAATAGCCACACTGGTAATTCCTCCAGGCAGCGGCAGTGTCAGCGGCATCATCATCAAGCGTGATCGCCTCTGCCTGGACATTACACAGCGTGACACACTGGCTCCGGCTGTCATCCATATGTCAGAGAGTTTATGTAATCTGTGTATGTATGTTGAACTTCTTTTGCGCTGTGCGCATCCAACCGTGATAATCGGAGGTGCGTGGGTGGGGGGCCAACAATCTAAACACAAAAAAACTGGTTGATGAGGACAAAAATATGTTTCGGTAATACACTCGATGGATTTTGTCAATGTCATCACAAGTCATGTTCAATCCGCTGCTGGATGAAGGCCTCCCCAATGCGTCTCCATCTACTACGGTCCTGCGCACGTCCCAAGGGGGATGGTCCAGATAGTTTTAGCTTTTTAAATATGGGTTTGCATTAATGTATGTATGTATATATATATAAACAACATTCCACGTATTTTCTCTGGTTAATATTAAAACACCCCCCCTACCCCAACTCCCTCGGATCTGCCACTGATCCTGCCATGCAACATTGTCAAATTTATATATAAACAAAATTATATGTAAATAAAATTGTACATTCGTAATTGATGTAAAAAGATGTTTGGCATGAAATAATCCAACACAATGTTAAATTGACAGTTTGTTTTCTTATATAAAAGATATATATGTAAAAAGTGTCTCATGGACTGAGACACAAACAGGTTAGCGTCAAGTGTCGAGTTTTGCCGTTTGCACTCCAACCGCACAACGTCACTCGGGTAGCTGGATATCCCGATTCTGGGTGCAAAACAGGAAACACCCCCATCCGCCGGGAACATGCTGCCAGCGAGCACCTGTGAAGGCCGCTGTTCCAAGATGAGGCGTTCACTCCCGGCAGCTCAATCTCTCAGCTCCCGGAAACAACAACAAACTCGCTCGTCCTCGCTCCCCAATCCGCCACACTCTGCATGGACCACATGTGCTTGTGGCAAAACATGTGAACAAACACGCTCCGATAATATATATGCGTTGCCTTTGAAACCGATTGGCCTACGCCAGAGACGGCTTTCTTTTTGGACTTGTCTCACAAGTGCTAGAGACCAGAGAACGCCAGAAGGCGAAGAGTATACGACAAATTGATTGGCGCGTTGGGATTAGAAAACATTGGCGGGCGAGAGCAATTTTTATTTGGCCGTTGAGAAGAGTGGAGTGGGCTCGCGCGGGACTCGGCATGGCTATAAGGGATGGTGGGGGGCCCAATAGGACGTCGACCATGGAGACAGAGCGATGGGAACAGGCTGTGTGCAGATGCTAGACGGACCGTTCGAACCTGAACCCCTCCATATCAATACGAACCGCTATAACCGCTCCAGATTAACATGAACCCCATCTAACCCTAACCCCTCCAGATGAACATGAACGGCTCTAACCCTAACCCCTCCAGATGAACATTAACCCTTCTAACCCTATCCTTCAAGTTGATCATGGTTGATGACGATGTTGATCGCTCGTCAAAGCGTGCGTCGGTAAATTCGAGTGCATCAGTCACGAGAGTGCACGTGCTAGAGCAATGATAAAGATCGCATCAGTCATGCGGTGCAATCGTCACAAACAGCCTAACTCAGTAGCAGTAAGGAGTGCGTTCTAAGAGAGTAATTTGGTGGTTAGTGGCACAGCACGAGGCCACATTGTTATGGGGACAACAAAACCACACACACGCTACACACACACACGCCCTACACGTCACACACACGCACTATACGCCACACGCACGCCATACAAACACGCCACGCACACACTCTATACTCCACACACATATACACCACACACACACACGCCACAAACACCACACACATGCTTTACAATCCACACACACACACACATATACTACACACTCCACATAAATACGCTCCACACATTATACACTCCACACACCATACACTCCACACAACAACGACCTTTGCCACTTAGTGTCGTTACCACAGCGCTTGTGCCAGGCTAGGTGCACTTTGAGGCCCCGTGAAGTGTCAATGGCTTGCTGACAGGAGGTCACAGGAGAGAGCCAGGTTTTTTGATGTGGTTACTGACGGGGAAGACTGGCAGACGCACCACTTGTGCTCCCTACTGTGCCAAGTGGCTGCATTTTAGCCACACGGTGCTCGCACTCGTTGCTTCTCTGCACTCCGTTCTTGTTGGAGGGCGACGGCCTCCAAATGCCAAGCAACGTCCGCTGCTACCAGTCATCTGCGAGTCCAATTAGTGCCACGTCTTTCTGCACAGCATCAACTCCATCTCTCCTCTAGTCCGTTGGGCTGCCCAGTTAGGCCAAAAAGAAGCTGCTTGGCCATGCGGTGCCCAGGGATGCGGGCGACATGACCCAGCCGACGCAGCCTTGCCCGCCAGCAAAAACTCAATGTTGGGACTGTGTCCAGATCTTGACACTCCACACAACGATCGCCATTCGCCACGAAGTGGCGGTGACGGTCACCACGGCGCTTGTGCCAGGTTTGGTGCACTTTGAGACTACATGAAATGTCGAAAGGCTCGCTGGGGTGGGAGGTAACGGGACGGACCCAAGTCCCATGGGTTGACTGACTGAGATGACTGGCAGATGCACCAGCTGTGCTCCTCAACAAAGACAAAGATCCCCCTATAACCTTAACAGACTCTTGGGAGCAAGTGCTGTTAGCCAGCACCTATAAAGGCTCAGAAAGCACACAAGGGGGTGGGTGGCCAGCACCATGCCCGGCCGTCTTTGCCAGGTACTCATTTGAGGCTGAGTCGAAGTAGGGGAGGCCCATAACTGGTTCAAATAGTCGTCGTCGGCGTTGGCTGTGAGCAGGAATCGAACTCGGGTCGTTGGGTTCATAGCGCAGCGCGCCAACCGTTGTGCCACTGCTCCCCACAAGCGCACACATACACACGCCGAGCGTGCGGCGCTGTGCCCGTGACTCACGAGCACTGACCGAGTCACCTCAGTCAGTCAGCCCATGGCACCTGGGTCTGCGCCGTGACCTCCTGCAGGCGGGTCGTTCGATACTTCACGTGGCCTTAACGTGCGCATGGCTTGGCACAAGTGCCGTGGTGAATGGCGGTTGTTGTTGTGGTTGTTGTTGTTGTGACTCACGGCTTGCGCAGGATCATCCTCATGAGGGCGTCGGGGCCGAGCTGCGACAGGAGGATGAGCGTCTCCTGCAGCTCCTCCTCGCTCTCGCGCAGCTCGTCCACCAGGGGGAACAGCGGCGTTTCCGCCTCGTCCTCCAGGAAGCGGTAAAAGAGCAGCTTGTCCTGGAAGTTCTGCTCCTGGTCGACTGTGTGAGAGGCGACACGTGACACGGAGCAAAAATAACTTCGACGCCGGTCGATTCATTTTAGCGGAGGCACTTGTTTGCACGGACGAACTTCAACAAGGAGCTGTGCAAGCCAACCATAAATGACATGGACACTAAGAGGCAAAGAAATAGATACATTGTATAGCCTATTAACAGACCGTTGGGGCGAGTGCTGTTAGCGAGCACCTATGAAGGCTGGAAAGGCACTCGAGGGGGTGGGTGGCCAGCACCATGCCTGGCCGCCTTTATCTCCCCAGTGGCGATGTTTCAACACCGCATAGGTACTCATTTGAGGCTGAGTCAACCTAGAGGAGATCCAGGACCGATTCAGATAGTTACAAGTGTTGGGCGTAACCGGGACTCGAACTCAGGTCGCTGGGTTCGTAACGCAGCGTGCTAATCGTTGCACTGCCGTTCCCAACTCGTGGACACACACACACGTGCGTTGGATCATCATTGGTAAGTCAAGTATTTATTCAGTATTTATTATCCTATTTATTGTCTAGGAATGTTTTTTGTATTGGGATTTTACGCATTAATTTCAATCATTTAGATTTTAGTCTGTTTGGTACAGCACAGTACTCATTTCAAATGTGATGCGTCTATTTTTGGTTGCCGTGTACCTAAGCCCATTATTTTTAGGTCAGGCTTAAGTATTGAATATCGCGTTTTTTGCCTTTCATGGTACTTTACAAGAACGTAACCTCTTTCCCACTCCTCCCGGCGATATTCAAGGGTCTCCTGCAATTCATTCCTCGCCAGACAAGTTTGGAATTCCTCACTGCATAAATGTCATTTGTGAAAAATCACCAATGAAGTACGCGTGGCCGTAGTAAAATAGTGGAGAGCACTTGAAAAAAAACCTTTTCTTGTTGATATTTTTGATCGGTGATCAACAAGAAACGGGGGTTTCCCTCCTCCCACTCACAGCCTCTACACACAGTGGGGCCCTGGTGAAAGAGACTTAAAATGTCACCCGGCTGTCCAATTTCCTGTCTCTTCAATAGCCCAGCACGCCGGTGCAGTTGCAACGACGACGACGACGATGCTGCCGCCACTGCCGGCACACTCGATTGGCGTGCGACCACCCCCTTACATGCGGCTACGCCGCCCCGGCAACGGCTGCGACGGCTATTACCATGATTGAGGACGCCCTCCTCCAGCAGCACTTGCCACATGGCGACGGCCTGGGTGCGCGCGTGCACGCTCGGACTCTGCTGCATGAGCCAGTCGACGAGCTCGGCCCCCACGCAGCACCGCCTGTCCCACACGCACGCACACCAACACAAATTAAGATCCCCCGTATAGCCTTTAACAACAGGCTGTTGGGGCAAATACTATGGACTCTTTATTTTACAATTTTTTATTTTGCCAAGTAAGGCCCACTGAGCTATAGAACTCTTTTTCAGAAGCGACCTGGCCGCAAATGATAGCTCAACGAAGTGGCTCATCACGTGGAAATGCACAGCGGCTAAATACTCTGAACGCACGTTTCTAAATGTGGAGTGAAAAACCAGAGGAGCCAGAGAAAAATCCACGCGACCACGGGGAGAACATGCAAACTCCATATAGACAGCATGCGTCAGGGTCGGAATCGAACTTACGACCATCTGTATACCAGGCAAGATAGTTAACATCTCGCCATCGTGCTGTCCTAAGTGAAGTGCTGTTCGGGAGCACTTATTAAGACTGACTGAGATGACTGGCAGATGCACCAGCTGTGCTCCTCAACAAAGACAAATACCCCCTATAGCCTTAACAGACTCTAGGGAGCAAATGCTGATGTTTACAGAACACACCAGGTAATCGTTTAAGGTTGAGTCGACCTAGAGGAGGCCCAGGACCAGGTTCAGATATTCGTTACCGATGTTGGCTGTCGGCGGGAATCAAACTCGGGTCACCGCCGATTCGTAGCACGGTCCCGCTAACTGATACACTACCGCTCCCCACACACATACAATTAAATTAATCTCGAATGGTTACAACTTCAGCCTCATCAACACCCATGAGATCATCTCCATCAATGTTAACGTCAACATCATCATTAACTGATACATATTTAGTATAAAAGTGGCTAAAATGTGTGTTAGCGTCAATATGCTAAATTCCTCTGTTGATATGTAAACTCCTTTGTCAAGGCGCTCTGCTCCTCCCACCCAACTTAAAAATACGCTGCCAAGCTTAGCGGTGTTCATTGCGACGCTGTCTTTTCGACAGCCCTGTTCTTCACCTGAGGACGGCTGCTTGTGTTGTGGCCGAAATGTCGAGAGAATTTTATTTTATAATTTTTATTCTTTTATTATTTCCCTTCTACGTGACTTTACCGAAAGAACCAAGAAGATGTGTGTTTGTGTATGTCCGTCCGGAGAACTCCCCTTTGACTCCTCCACCAAGTACAACGAATGAGGTGCCGTTTGAAAGCTCATCTTATGTATCTCAGGTCCAACCTATTACATAAAGAGGATCCAAATCAGCTCATCAGCCCTGATAACTGCTTATCCACTCGACCATCTGCAATAAGTCAGTCCCATTTCAAAACCATACACCGGATACGTGCGTGCGAGGGAGTGTCAGCAAGTACCAGTGCTGGATTATCCTAGTAGCAAAAGTAGCGACGTATGTAGTAGCTACGGGCCGCGCACTTTCAAGGGCCCCGCGCTAAATGCTTTCAAGCTATCAATTCCGGTTAAGTTATTCTGCACTTGCTCTATTACTATAGTACTATACTGCCTTCAACTGTTATGAACGACTGGGTGTTTACGGTTAGCGATGTAATCTTGATTTGAAGCTTTCGTGACTGCAGGAATCCATACTCTTTGGTTCTTTCGGTAAAGTCACGTAGGTGATGACAGACGCTTGTGTTGCACCCGAAACGTCGTTATTTATTTTATTTTATACCTACGTGACTTTACTGAAAGAACCAAAGAGTAAGGTTAGCGATTTGTCGTATTATCTGGCTCTATAGCAAATGGAAAAACACAATTACTTTACTATGCAAGTAAAAAATTGCGTTTGAATATATATGTGTTCTATTTATTTATTTTAGGGCCCCTTTATAACATATGCTACAGGCCCCGCACTAGCTTAATCCGGCACTGGTCATCAGCCATGAAATCTCCACGGGCTTCCCACTGTATTGTGTAAACTGGCGAGTGGCGAGGGTCAGGTGAGCTTTGGTGAATGTCTGAGAGGGGTCGCGTGAATGTCACGTCACTCCGTCCGTAGGATGCGGCACCCACGTTTAATTTATTTTTATTTTCTGTAGGCCTTTAAAGTACATGGCAATATCACAATTATTTCGATACATTGGCTTAAAGTTAACACCGACGAGATTTATAACAGGTCATCGGATGTTGAGCTCGGACGCACCTGTAGGTTTTCAAGTGGTACTTGCGGTCCCTGATCATGTGAGAGGCTCTGCTCAGGATCACGTTCCTCAGGACGACGCCAGCGTGGAGAACCTTCTCCGAGGGGACCTGCGAACCAACCGGCGTCGTTTTAACATCGCTCGTGGGTTTTTTTTCCGCGTGAACGCGACGTCGCGATCAGACTTTAACGACACGCACGCAGGTATGAGCTGCGTGCACTGAAGTCCCCTCACTTGGTGTTACGCAGACCACCGGCTTACTACTCCTGTGGCCATTTTGTAGTGTCTTATGTGACCAACTAATAAAAAAAAGAAATATGTAGCGAGCCGACATGTTCTTGTTAAATCTAGTTGCGTTCCGGCCAGAACTACGTTTTGTGTTGTGATGGCTGTTCTCGTCAGGATTTAATTATCGTTGCCTTGAGACGTAGCTATTGGAAACTTGATCTTGATTAAAATTGTGCTTACGCATGCACGCGCCCCAAGAGTAAATACCAATTGAGTGGTGCTGCTCAGTAGCGGAATGATAGGACCGTGTACCATCCCAGGACGTGGCAGTATCAAGCATATGCGACTGAAGTGGGCCTTGAAAGCCAAACGTCTCTGCTGGACTGCCGATGACCGAACAATATCATAGAGCGAGCGAATTTCTTATTGCACCAGGATGGCTACTCAGCAGGGATCATGGCACTGTTGTTGATCCTGATGTAAATGTCAGTCGCCATGTGCAAAGATGGACTACGATCAAATATCACCGTGAACTGGGATGCACCCATGCAACTGACTTTTGACTCCTCCATTTGAAGAGTTAATCTGTCTTCAGGCAATACGGTTTCACCCACTGAAACAATGACACATTATACTTTTAGCATTGGAAAAGGCAAAGAGGTTAATTCCAACAATGTCAACGTACACCACATTGCATTCCATGGTGGCCTGACACAGAGCTTCACAAAGTCCGGTACTTGTCACGTAACAAGGTCAGCTGACTGTGGAATTCAGTAGCAATATCCACGCACAGACACTGACAACAATAACAACACGTGGATATTTTGTGTCACGTGTTGTGGTCAATTATATGCGTTGTGTGAAGCTGCACATAGCAGCCCACGCCAGTGGATTCCTGACCGACACAATGTTGCGGTATGGGCTATATGAAACTGTACTCTTTGGTTTTTTCGGTAAAGTCATATAGGTAAAAAATTAAATAAATTAAATCACGATTTAATAAATTTTAATTTTTTACCTCCGTGACTTTACCGAAAAAACCAAAGAGTATGAATCCTTGCAGTCACGAAAACTTCAAATCTAGAATTATATGAAGCTGCTATTGCGAGCGATACGATTTTACAATCACCGAGTGTGCACGTCACGTGCTCCAGAGGCACATGGGATAACAGCCTTGAGTCAACGTGAATCACGGTGGACTGGAATGAAAGAATCTCTGTGCTAGCATCTGGATGTCAGTGCACAGCGATGGCAATGCGGTCCGCTCATCCCACCCTCCCATAGCGCAAGCCAGCTGAGTTAAGGCAGCTTACACTTCTACTCGGGTAGAGTGCTGGCATCGTGGTTAGCACACTGCATGATGACTCCAACGATAGGTAGAGTGTGTGTGTTTTACCGTGGAGTGGTGGCAGATTGGTTATGCACAGAGCTATGAACTCAGCGAACTGAGTTCCATTCCCGGCCATGAATAAAGTCAACGCTGAGCGATTTCTCAAATTGTCCTGGGCCCCCCTTTGCCAACCAGTGTGATGATGAATGGCCAAACAAACCTCCATGACCGAAGAGTGTGGGGAAGCTTTCACTCATCAGTAGATTGACGAAAGGCTGTAAATCACTATTGTTGTATTTGATACCTCCATTAGTCAGCATTGTGTTTGAGATAGAAATGGACAAATTTGTCAGTGTCTTTAATTATTGCATCTGCGGAGAAAAAAACCCGTCGATTTTATTGCGTCTGGTTACGCTGCAACCTCTGTATTATATTTCTGCATGTCTCCTTTATTGAGTGGTGCAGTGTAATTGGCATAGGCCCTGATGCAAGGAATGACATATGGGGCCCCCTGTACAATTTGCCAGCAATGTTTGTGGCTTGGTGCCTGGGCGCACCCCTCCAGCTCACGGCCGCTGATGCAACTGCACAGCCTGCAACGCTCTACGGCTGGAACACAAACCCCGTGGGAGAAGGTCAAGGTTCACGTCCATCCAGTGCCGCGGTGCGTGTGGTGTGTGTGGCGAGCAAACAGAAGGGGTGGGGGGGTTACCTGGCTCATGAGCGAAACCTGGCCCAGAGGTTTTAATGGACGGTGGGAGACTGTGGTCTCTATTATAGGAGTCTGGAACAAAACAAAAAAATACAAAAAACGGAATATGCATGCATGGCAAACAATGCAACAGAACGAAAGCAAAAAAAACCCCATTAAAATCAATCAAACTTTGAACAACAAAACAAGACGTGCACCGAATACAATGAATTACAGTACGTGGCAAACGAACGGAACTGTCAATTAAATTACGTGGCGAGTAATTAAATAAGCAATAGGAAGCGTTTGTAAAGAGGTGCCTGTAAATACCACTGCAGGTTTAGTGTTCCAAAGAGTGGCAACCGTAAGCACCACGGCCGTGAGTCACAACACAGCAGCTCAGGTGACGTGTTTACGGCTCTGTCGCCTGACACGGTCAGGCTGGAGGTTGCCGGCACCTGGCAGGTGTTTCCAACGTCACGCGAGGAGGGCTCGGTTCCAGCAGCGCATGCATCGCGTTCAAGGGCCAGGTGACCGTGCATGTGCACAGGCCCGCTTCCGCCGCAGTGAAGCTGAACGCAAGTGACGAATGCGCAATGGGCTTTGCCGAGACCATTACGGTGATCGCTGCTGCCCAAATAAAGCTTTAATCTCTTGCCTCTGTGAATCTCCGAATGCTCCATTTACTCGCCGCTCTCGCGATTGCCGCTCCTACCGAGTTCTCTTAGAGAGCTCCCTTCTCACTCCCGCACATCTCCGAGATCGTCATCGGCCACGGTCAATCCACGGTTGGATAAGGGCCTCCCTGAGCTATCGTCGTGACGACGCAGCAATATGGAATGAGAATTAGTCCACCGTAAAACTGTGTCCGAATTCCCAGCTGGACAGCGCTACACTTCCCATCAGTAAATCTTCGTTTCTCTTGAATTTTGCATTGTTACTCAAGCGGACGTCAATGCGTTATATCGGTCGGATTTCCTATTCTACTACAATGTTGTAAAGTGGTAAATCGTCATCATTTTGAAATCTACTTTTCACTGCACTTCATTGCTTTAATTCAAAATAACAGCTCAGATTTTGTTATTATTTATTATTGTAAAAAGGCATGTGCAGTTACAAATTGTTGTCAGTACTGTGATGGTTTATTGTTTATTTCATGGTTACAAATGTATTTTGCTAAATGCAATGCTTGTATGTTTAAACCGATATTTTACTGTAAATACAAAGTTAATTAAGTCGACTATCCATAGAGATGTTTTGGGTTAAATCGCGTAAATATATAAATGTGCCGTTAAAACCCGCCACACATTTATATATTTACACGATCTAACCCAAAAAACCTATATTATGGATAATATTGGTCGCGAAAGCCAACATGTTAAACTAAGTCGACTATACGCTTCGTTCTTTCCTGCACCTGTCCCTCCACATAAAACAAACTATTGTTTTTTATTAATGTACAAGTATTTACACGCATCCAATCGGCCCCATGGCCTTCTGGGAGTAAACTCTTCCAGCATCTTTGATTTAATACTCGTAATCTCTGGACCGGTTTCAACATTCGGTGTCTCATTAGCAGAGTCAGGCTTTCTCAAGCCAATGCTGGCCAGCCACCACATGTTTTAGATAGGGACCTCTTTCATTTAAATCGGTCTCAATCCTATGGCGTTCATGTGACACTAAGAACAAACACCGTGGATCATTTGAGCCTCACCGTTCGTTAGGGCAGCTTCGATAGGTTTCACAACAATGACCCCCAGAGGAGGTGTTCTCCAATCCGAGGGGTCAAGGTTTGCAGAGACTACAGGCTTCCAATGAGCCACGAATATCAAAACTAAGCTCATCAGATTTAAAATGCAATTCGCTTAAATTTATCCGCAAGCTGATTTTCCATGCAGTTTGCAAAACAGAAATTGGGTGCAGCATTCTGCGCTCAATCTTGCCTCTAATATGCGCTCGATCTATTATTAGCCGCTCCTTATTCGTGACTCAGTGACCTATTACTTGAAGAGAGAATAAAAACAGACTGACATCGTCTGGATTCTTCACTCCCTCCCCACCCCCAGTCGACATATACTTCACTGTATAAGCCAAAATTATGACTGTATAAACTAATTTACAAGTGTCTGTGTACAGTATTTTTTTCCGGGGACACAACTATGCCCCCATTACATACGGTGTGAAGGAAGTTCAACATGCATGCATACATAAATCTCAGAGAGTTGATCCGAAGGTAGAAAAACTACTCTGTTAATTTACTTTGTTTTTGCTGTACTTCAATTATATCATGGGACCTTTTTTTCCAGTATCCAAAATGATGAAAAATAGGAATAGGTTTTACATTTGGTGTTTGAACACCAAATACTGTAGTGAGACAAGGTGAGGCAAGGCCATAAAGAAGGCTGTCTCTGGTGTAGGCCAATTCGTTTCAAGGACAAAGACAACGCATTAACAGAGCCACAATGTACTTAAATTAGTTTTTTTAACCACTTGAAAGAAAAGAGTTTTCACCTGAAACACTTAAGATATTAATCCTGTACACTGTTTCCTCCTTCCCTATCCGAGTGATTATTGCAGGAGCACACAACCGCGAAATTTTACATCTCCATGGCCGAATTAAGCACACAAGCACGCCTCTGACACGATCAACTTCTAACTATGGTTGCGCAACACGGTCGCCGCGTGGAAATTGTGTCCATTTGCAGTTCGTGACCCGGTCCTAATGATGTCACGGACAAATGAATTCCGCACAATGGGTGTGATGAAGCAAAAAAAAAAATGTATAATTGGCAATTGCGGCAAAAAATCCGGCAGAATGAGCAGTCGACACGAACCGCACAAACAAAAAAGTGAATCTCAATCGGATCATCGCGACTGAAACGCACAGCGCCCGCAACTTGGAGTACACACGTGTGCGCTTCGCCGTTTGTATCACACAGGTACGATCTAATTGGCAGGCTTTTGCTTTCGCGTGGTATGATATTTGTAAGAACATTGGAATTTTATCTTATTTTATATTCAAACAAAATATTGAGAGCTCCAGAAGGGAAGGTTTGCGTGGTCGAGTGAGTGCGTGGTAGGGCAGCAATGGTAGTTTGATGTCCATAGTCATCAGTGCACTGGAAAAAGGTGCCTTCAGGAAAGTCGTTGAACTTGACTATCAATAACCACATTGTCAAGGCACTAGCATAATTTATATCCCCGAATTAATTATACACCACATGCAAATGGGGCACTTTAACCCCCCTCAGGCCATTCTTTGTTAACTTCAATTTAAAAAGTTGCTTATAAACTCAAGACTCAATCAGCTGACTCATAAGATAGAATTACTCACAAGCTATACTGTAAACTGCTCCAAGCACTGCATTTTACCAACGTGTTTGCAACATGAAAACAAGAAATGCTGGTAATGAGAATAATCGAGGGAATGAACGCGTTTGACGAGAATTCCTGCCAATATTAATTAAAATGAACATTTAATTGTTGTGGCATGGGCGACAGGGGAATAGAACATTCTAATGGTGCCGCAAAACAGGTGTGCCATGAAGAGAGTGCGGACCAACCCGTGTTGCAATACGTTTCGCGAGAAAGAACTATGAGAAACTCATCAACAAGAGTAACGATATACACGCAAAAGGCCGTTCAGAGGCAGCAAATGCCGCGATTCAAGAGACCGAAATGGAGTCTCTATTTGCAAGAGAGACCTGGCTCACAAAAAAGTGACAAAAGTACGACAATGAAGATAAAGGCAGTCGGAACAGATTGTGACCGTGTGAAGAAGTGGACAAAAAAAAACTATTCCCCGGGAGGATTTCATTGCAAGATGGGATAGGTGTTTTACTTTCCCCTGTATTGTGAAGGACAAAAACCAGAAATTGCATTAGTCCGCCGCCACTGCCGACGGTGAATAGTCGCATGGTAGCGAGATCAAGGCACCCGGCATCTAGCGGCATCACGGTGCTTTGTGTATAGCAACAACCGATGTTGTGTGATAAAGCTGCTGACATTACAAATAGAGTCATCTACATGGCCTGTGTGCCGGCTCAAGGTTATAGAACTCGCAGTGCCCGGGTACTGAATGTACGCTTCTATAGGGAAATTCTCAGTGGCAATGTTTAACTGCGGTACGGCCACGAGCAGGCAATGCAGTTCCCACATCGCCAGTGCCAAGTAGGCACTGCCAAGAGGGGCGATTACTGCAAAAATCCGGAATAACCAATTACAATTCTTATCTATTTAAAAAAAATCACTGTTATGCAACTATAGGAATTTGCGTGGAATAAGTTGGTTTGACCTTTATGATGCGAAGCCAATTTCCAGAGCTGGCAATGAGCCAAGGATTCTAAAGCTGCACGGAGTGGGGGGGGGGGGGTGTTCTGCTCACGCAGAGAAGTTACGTGGCTTAACAAGGATCACTTCGGGATGTCTCCACCACTACCAAAAAGCACCTTTTGAAAGCGGAGTTAATCTCCAATATACACAGCACAACACTGAAGTTCCAGATGACGATCGGCGTTCTGCCAAATATATACGTCCTAAAAAAAACTTTCTGCCCTCAAAATATCACGCAGCAATAGAGGACACATTTTGTCAGGATACCCGGCATTGGCTGAATCTATTGAGCAGCTGCCATCGTGATTACAAGGGAGGGAATTTTTCGTTTCATGGACTGTGTTGCAGGTCACAGAAAAAAGAACTACCAGACAGCGTGGGTGTCCGTCGACATCGCATCGACTCAAAAGGGCCGCGTACGCACAACAATGCAGACAATGTACACGTTTGACAATTTTAAAAACAAAAAAAAAATAATACCAAAGCAAACGATTCTATTTACCCATCGCAATCCGCGTATCGTGAAATCAAGACTGTTGCCGTCGGGAAGTTCGTATCTGCGTCCCAGCGAATGGTGCGACAGATTCGGCCAGTTAAGCCTCAGCTCTCGGTCGGCGTTGAAGGCGCCGTCGGAGAGTTGTCGCCGCAGCGTCCGTTTCAGCATCTCCATGGGACCGCGGACTTTAACGCTTCCAGCCGCCGCGTCTTGAGTGGGGGACACTTCCATTTGGAAGCGTCTCCGAGAGACTCTCCCGACTCTT